TTTATCTTATGTGACTTTAGCCCTGTAAGTTATTCTTGTTTCCTTTTAAACAAAGAGATGTGATATAGAGGGGTCTGTAACTTGGTCCCAGTGCTAGGTGTGAGCCCTGCCTTCTAAGGCAGATCTATGAGATTCCAGCATACAGACATCAGCCAGACTGGACCACTGATTTTCATTGAGGCTTTGCTTCTTCAGTCATAGGGAAATGCTTTGATTTGTGGCCAGAGGCTGGTAGGGAAAAGGCCTCCAGCATTATTGGTGACCTTTATAGAGTTATGCTAGATCTTTCTTTAGCTTCTTCAGAGGATAGAAACAGGGAAAGTCCTCTGCAGTTTTTGGATAAGGTCATGCAGGTCAGGACACTATTTCAGGAATCTCAGTGCAGCTAGGAGGTGGGCAGGATGGAAGCAAGGTGAGTGGCAGGCAGTAGATGGACTCTGCACTTAATGGCCGTAGTGAAAGGGTTGTTCAGAATACTTCAAAGGAAGGAGTGTAAGGGTACGTATTGTGAGAAGTGTTGCAATTAATGATGAAGTAAGTATGGGAGTGAAAGATTCTTCCTTTGATGTTTCAGGACACGTATGTCTGTTAACCCTGTGCATTGCCTGATGGCTTTAAACTCCGTCAATGATGGGGATTATCATGCCATCGTGGGTATGAACATCATGTCATGCAAATCATAGATATTAACATTTTTCTAACAAGGGTCAGCAGACAACCTCAGGGGTCTGAGAGAATTCTCTTTTGAGAATTTTTGAGGTACAGGCCAGAGAAAATAATTATAAAACTGTTTCTAAAACCTGTGTCTGGGTCAGATGGATTAACCAGTCTTTCTGGGTAGCAGCGAAGGGGGATGGTTTTTTATTGATTCATTGTCTTCATCTGTAGCAGAAATTTCTGTCCAGTTCCTTGAGTGGTCCCAAGTTTGTTAGACGACTAGGTGGTCAAGACCATTGGAAGCCTCTGCATGACTCTGTGTATTAGATGGTGAGGGTGGAAAAGTGCACAAGTGTGTGTGTGTGTGTGTGTGTGTGTGTGTGTGTGTGTGTGTGACCTGTGTGTGACCTGTGTGCCCTGTGCCACACATGTGGAGGCCAAAGGATAGCTCTTGGGAGTTGGTTCTCTTCGGCCACTATGTAGGTCCTGGGGATTAGACTCAGGAAGTTAGGTCTGCACCTTAGCACTTCTACTGGCTGAGCCATCTCATTAGCCTTGAAATATTTTGTTGGAATTAAACAATTGCTTTGAAAGTGACACAGAAAAGTAGCAACCTCAGCGTTTGTATGTGAGACTTATGGTTGCATTAGGAGTTTGCTTGTACTACCAGATGTCTGTTTTTTTCTATCTATATAGAATCTGAAAATGTAGAGAAAAATGTGAACACTGGCTTTCTCTAAGTGTTTGCTTTTATTTTTTTTTCTTCCTAAGTTTGCTTTAAGACATATACTGTCTTTCCTTTTTTGATACAAGGTATCATCATGTAGCTCTGACTGGGACTCCTATGTTCCTTTCTTTGCCTCTGGAGCACTGGCAGGTGCCACTGTACTTGCCATGCAAGGCTAGTGTTTTAGTTGAAGTCAGGGAAGGAGTGTAGGATTCCTCCTTTATCTATGTTATAGCTACTTTTGGAACAACTTTGTTACCTTTGTTACCTGCCAATAGAAGTTCCATTTGTGATTGGTAGTTGGTGTAATACTACCTTGGCTATAAGGTAATGGCTGTGATCTGTCTCCCTCTTTTTGCAAGAAAAGTCATTGTAACAGTTGATGGTCTTTGAAGAGGTTCAAAGCTCATAGGGAGGAAGCTATTTGTGTCCCTTACAGATAGCTTTGGCTTGGCATTTTAGAATCATTCTGTTCCAAATTTTGGACTCTTTCTTTTCTAATTACACTTAATTAATCTTGGCAAAGCTTGAAGAGCAGTCACGGAAGCTTCCTATGTGAATGCATGTAACACACATCACCTTTTGTCTAAATCTCTTAAAGCTGCTTGGTGCGGCCACTATCCTAGCCAGCTTCCTCAAAGTTAGATCTGCAGACATCAGATGGTTTTCCTTTAAGGGGAGTCTATTGGTGCTGCTTTTGGAGTTTGAGAAATATTGTCAACAGTAGTAAACATTTCCAGTGTCTTTTATTCTTAACTCATTTGGATTTTTGCCATTGGTGTTTGTTCATTTCAGGTACTTCAAAAAATAGACCATCATGCAAATTTGGCTTGCTTTTTTCGAGACAGGGTTTCTCTGTGTAGCTTTGGAGCCTAGCCTGGCACTTGCTCTGGAGACCAGGCTGGCCTTGAACTCACAGAGATCCGCCTGCCTCTGCCTCCCGAGTGCTGGGATTAAAGGCGTGCACCACCAAGCCCAGTGCTGTTTTGTTTTTGTAGAACCCCATTTGAAGTGGTTAGCACTCAAAGAAGGTGGGGGCAAAGCGAGAGTGTTAGTTGAGTGTAGAAAGTAGAGCTGACTGCAGAACCAGTTGATCTCAAAAGCCTAGAATTTCCTCTTGAGAAAATCACAACCTTTGTGAGTTAAAAATATTGCTGACACTCAGTGTTTCCCCCAATACCCTCGTGGCAAATCACAGGCAAATTTACACCCAGTTTTCTTATAATACTCTCTTATCACTACATTTGTATCCCTATTGTTTTAGACACATTTTTATTAACTGCTTCTTAAGAGTGATCAAAATCTTCCTGACTTAAAATGTACATTGTGTAGTCTTGTCTTAAAATTTTGAATAAGTATTCTGAAAATAGATGACCAGTTTGAGGTGTCTTTTCATATAGTTAAGGAATCTGTCTTCTGGTTGAACCATCATTTGAGCGGCCACCTTAGCTGGAAGGAGACTTGCTTACCACAGAGTTTTGTTCCCTGTATTGGGGTCCTTTGAAAGTGTCCAAAGCAGTGGCTTGCCATAAATGCACGCACAGTGCAGTTGCATAGGATTTTCTAGAAGGCTGAGGTTCTCAGGCAAGGTAACCATTTTTGACTAACCACAGCAGCAGCCCTTGGAACAATTTTTCTGTTTTACATTTATGTCTGGTGTCTGTCATTTCTTACAACTTCTTTTTTCCATTCTGTATTTTCAAGTTCTGATTTATTCTAGAACTCAGTGATAATCTGGGCAGGGCAAGAAGGTCATGCATTTTTTTTTCAATTTCTAAAATTCCAGGCTAAAAGTCAGGCACATACCTTTAATCCAGCACTCAGGAGGCAGAGGAAGGTAGATCTCTGAGTTCAGGGCCAACCTTGCCTACAAATTAAGTTCCAGTGCAGCCAGGGCTATACAGAGAAACCCTGTCTTGAAAAACAAAAATCAAACAATAATATTTAAGAATGATAATAATTATTATATATTTTATTATTTTAAAATTATTTTAATATTATATACAATTATTATATATTGTGTTATACAATAACAAAATAGCCTGGAATAATAATAATACTTTTTTTGATTTGTTTAACCTTGGAAGTTTCCCCACATCTATTCAGGAGGTCATTTTAAGAATCGTAGGAGTAGCATTGTATTTTTAGACCACATTTTCCTGTGACATTTGTTCTTTGTGTTATGAGAGTGTCTCTTTGTAGCCTAGGATCATTCTAAGGATAGTATTTCAGCGTTGGCTTGCTCAGATAGTGGACTAGTATGATGTATGTTGCTTTTCTTACCTGTGAAATGGATTTGACTCTATAGCACCTAAGTCAGTATGGATTAAGTGAACTAGAATATATAAAACTAGCGCCCCCCCTGCCCATCCCTCATCCCCAGCTGTAGGTTGGTGTGCCATGCTTACTACCACAAAGCTTATACTATAAACATTCATTTCTGTCTTTGACTCACTATGGGGTCTTTGATAAGTTGGATGGGAGAGCTTTGTTAATCTAAAATAGGGCTGGGAGCTAGCAAGATTGCTTAGCAGGTAAGAACACTGGCTGCTCTCCCAGAGGACCCAAGTTAATCACATGGTCTGTAACTCCAGTTCTGATGCCTTCTTCTGGCCTCCGTAGACACTATGCATGTGGTGTACAGACATTCATGCAGGCAAAACACCCATGCACATCCAGACAAATAAATATTAAAAAGATAGGGAGGGCATCAAGGAAGGAGAGTCAAACTATGAGTTTCTCAGAACAATTCCAATGGAAACATTTTATGGTCTTGGGTTGTGAGATGACCCAGCTGATAAAAGAGCTTGCTGTCAAGCCTTATGCCTAGACGGTTCAGTCCCCAGAACCTACATATGAGGAGAACAAAACCAGTTCCCAAAAAGACTTAAGAAGTTCTACAATCTCTTATTTCTGTGTGTGAGGGAAGGAACTGTCACTTTTTCCTTTTACCAATTCATGAGTTAAGAGTTAATGGAATTCACAGGCAATGAAAATAGTAGGACATCTGTAGTAGTTATCTTCTCCAAGCTGTGAGTGACAAATGCCCCACAAGAGGTAATGTAGGGGAGGGGTGATTTGGGCTTAAGGTTGAGGTAATAACTGTCCACCGTGGCAGGGAACTCACTGCTGCAGGAGGGTAAGGTGGCTGGGTATACAGAGCCCACAGTCAGGAAGTGAGAGAAGCAAAGTGAGAGCTGGTCTCATCTTGCTCTTGCCTTTCTCCTGGTATGGCGCCACCATAGTCAGGGTGAGTCCTGCTGCTCAGCCTACCTTTCCTAAGGACACTTTCCCATACATACCCAGAGATGTATTTTCACCATGGCTTTAAATCCTTCCGAGTTAGCAGTCAAGATTGACTACTGTGCTCTTATAAGCTGAGTAAGCAGTCAAGACAACCTCTGTGCCCTACAGGTAGAATCAGTGTTAGCATTTACAGCAGTCACTTGCTCTTTCCCTGCTCACATATGCATTGGTTTTTGAACAGGTTTCTGCCCTCTTGATTATTGTCCCCTCAACTCCTTTCTCTTACAGACAACAATGCCTCAGGCTCCAGTGTCTGGATTGATTTGAAGCATTTCTGTTCTCTGCTTAATCAATATGTTCTCTTGAACAGGATGAACTTACTGCTGTGAACGTGAAGCAGGGTTTCAACAATCAGCCAGCCTTCACTGGAGACGAGCATGGCTCTGCCAGAAATATTGTAATCAACCCATCAAAGGTAATGCTTATTGTTGCTTATGTCTCCCGGAAAGGGCAGTTTGTGACACCCTTGATATACATATATTGCTATATATCAATATATATATGCATATGTGTGTATGTGTCTGTGTCTATATATATCTGCTATTTGAGCCATATTCCATGTTCCAAATTTCCTCCTGTTTGCAAACAATGAAGCACTCATGGTGTTAGTTGTCAGGCATTTCATTCTGAGACTCCTACAGTGTCCTTTTCCACCTTCTACTTATTTTTTATGTCTTTCATGGCTGCCATTATAGAAGAGCCTGGGTCAGTTTTAGACTATGGCTATAGTCTAGATTTATTTTGTTTTCCTAAGACTGTTCCTTACTTTATGTCAGGAGTGTGGTGCCAATCCACCCAATTGATGATTATACAAACCAATCATTCAGTCATTGTGATACCCACTGTCTTCCTACATTATAAAAATAGCAACTTCTACTTTTTGGTAATCTCTAGTTATTGTTATTTTTTTGAACTCAGGACTTGTAGACCCTGTGCATGTGTCCTGTCACTGAGCTGTACCAGAAGCCCCTCATAATGCTATTTTGAAATTACAAATAACCTAGACTTCTATAAATTTCACACAAAGGTTTGATGACATTTTCTTTCCCTCTACACATCTCACCTTTCTTTCTTTCTTTTGCCAGGTTCTCACTAGGTAGCACTGCCTGCCCTGGAACTTGCTATGTAGACCATAATGTCTTTGAATTTGCATCAGCTTTCTTGTCCCTGTTACTGTGTGCCAGGGTTCCAGGCAAGCCTCGCTCACCAATGGTTCTTGCTGAATGGTTTGTTGTGTTGGGGGCTGACATGTTTTTTCTACTTATCATTTCTCATGTATGCATTAACTCGAGTTCTTTTGTGAAGAGCTCCCTTTGCACTTTAGTTTTTCTGTGCCACTGTGAATTGCTTTGCCATCACTCATAGGTTCCTGGTTTTATTTTTCTGTGTTAAGATTTATTGCCTTCATTTTTCTTTTTGGCTGCCCAAATTTTCCAGTATTTGGTTAGTAGGGGTCTTTTAAACACTGGTTAAGCATCCCCACAATTCTTATTGTTCTACAACACCTTCCAGGTTCATGTTGTTCTATGTGCCTGCCACTGGGTGCTTGCTAGGCATTCTCAGCAATTCTGGAGTATTGTTAGTTCTATGCCCTTTCAGTGGACAGAGGGACGAACACTACCTGTTTGGTCTGCCTACTGGTTGTTACTGTTACTAACTGTATATCACATAGTATGTCCTTTACTCTTCTTGTTTGGTCTTCATGTCTTCCTTTCCCTGAAGTGAGAATTGCTTCCTGCAGTGCCAGCAAACTTTGCTTTGTGTTACAGTTGCTTTGCTTTTTGTTCATTGGCATCATGACAATCAAGTTTCTGTGTAAGATTTACAATTTTTCTGTAATACCTTTTGTGGTTACACCTACTTTCATTAAAACTGTATAGTCAGATTTGGAGGGAAGAGGCTTGGGTGGGGCTGGAGGAAGAAAAAGAAGGGGGAAAGTGATTAATTATATTTTAATTAAAAGTATAAAAAATTGTTGTCAGAATATTATGTTCAAAATTTATTGAATTAAATATCTCTTTTCATGTATCAATTAGATATATAGACAGGAGTGTTTCTGCTTATTTTCTTTTAGAGATTGATTTTTAAATTCTTTTTATATCATTATTTTCTGATATTAAAGTACTTTCACTCTCATTAAGTTAAAAACAATCATATATACAAGGAAGAAATAAAAAGCACAAGTCAATATCTAGACTTCTTTTCTCTCACAAAAACACACAAATAATTTATTGTTTGTTAAGCCATCAGCAGAAATACTATTGAAAAGATGTAAAAGAAAACAAAAGTATATTGGTATGTAGTTTCACTGACTAGACACAGTATTTTTAAGTTTGTCTTTTGTGATCTGTATGTACATCATGTTATAACTATTATTATGTACTTGTGATTAACATATAGTTTTCCATGTGTAATTCAGTATACTTCATGTTTGCCACTTTGCCCTGTCGTAGTGTGTAGATCTTGTGCAGTACATACATTCATATTGCTTTACAGCCATCACCTTACGGCCTGTACCCAAAACATTTTCATCTTTCTTAAGTGATCACTGCTATGTCCCGCATGGCTTAGTCAGGACACCTGAATGGGGCAACTGGGGAAAGAAGGAACAAGGTACATTGAAATGGCAGGCACACATGCAGAAAAGCTGGGATCAGTTGAGCTGTGCTGGCCTTGATGGAGGGCGCCTCCGGCAACCTGGAAATTCAGTGTTTTATTAGCACAGCACAAGGAGGCAGGGCTGGCTAGTCTGGGCAGTAGGTCTCTCCAAATGTATAGTTTCAGTCTGTAAATTTCTGGGAGGAGGCAACTACCACCTGCTTTCTGCACACATTATTCGCACATCCTTAAAAGCTTTGTCTTCATAAAAACTGAGACCTTGCCTCAACTGAAAAGGAGAGATCTAGCTTCTGGAATTTGTCCTCTGACCTCCACATGCTCTGGCATGGATGTGCCCGACACTCCTACTCCTAACACACATACACACTCTGTGTGGATTTTGGGTATTCAGAGTTTAGTTTCTATCAGAGAGTAGGAATTTTGAATGTGTTATGAACTGCTCAATTTTTGGTTCTTAGTGTCAAATTTTATGTTAAGTAACCAGGTTAACAAAAATAACACTTATTACAACTTGGACCACTTTTTCTGTGAGGTCTATTCAAATACCTAATATTTCTTATGTGAATTTGATTTCATTAATATGGAATGTATGAATCTTAGTGCTTAACACTTAACCTTTCCCATGTTCTTATCAAAGGAGCTATTATCTGAATACTTCTGGGCAGATAAAAACAAGTGTTGAATTAACCTTCTTAACGTTTTGTTTGAAAGACTATAAATTGCTATTAAACCTTTTGAAGGGTGATATGGCAGTATAATTAACATTGCAGAATCATGCCATCCAAATTATTGAAATTGTCCTATACCTGTACGTTACAAATGTGAAAGGTATTCACTTTAACATAATGCATAACACTAATGTTTAGAGACAGTGCCCATTAATACTGTCTTGTTTAAATAAAGACAGAATATCCATGTAAAACATTATTGTGTAGCTATACAAATAAACGAATTCCACATATAGGTATGTTTATACTAACTGCATTGTGAGCCAGATATGCCAGAAAGGAAAATAACATTTGTGTATTTGCTTGTGTTGGTTCATATAACAGAGGAAGGCTGTATAGCGAACTAATCAAATTGCTTACTTGGAGGTAGGAATTAGGTTTTGAGAATGAGGCTTTAAAAAATACATCTTCTGATTTTTGAATAATGTAAACATATTACTGTTAGAAGAAAACTGAGCACTCTAGGTGCTTGGTGGCAAACCTGTAATCCTAGCAGTGGGTAGGGGTGGGGGAGATACTCCAGACCAGCATGAGACCAGTCTTAAAATACTTTTTAGACATTTTTTGAGCCTTAATGTGTATTTCTCCTGTCTTGTTTATTTAGGGCCTTTGACTTTGCTTACAGTATGAATTTATTTACAAGATTCACCAAGGAGAAATATAAAGCATTTATATTCAGTTTTTTTTTCTGTTATTAAGCAGGTACCTTGACTCCTCAGAGTGATTTTCTTTTCATTTTTATACCCTTGTTCAATTTGATTAACAAACCTAGATATAATTGCAACTTAGAGGTTTCTTTAATATATAGCAGTATATACTCTTAGTTGTTTAGTACCCTTGTTAGAAAGACGAAGTATCATTTGAGAAATTTAAAACTGAACAATTTACCCCTATTGACAGCTTGTTTACAACCAACTGGTTCTGCTTCTACTTAATTTATCTACTGAAAGTTCTAGAAACATTTGCTTTCAACAGAAAAACTTCAGTGATTTTTGAGAACCAAACTCTCATATCTGTTTTTCTACTTTCTCTAGTTTTTGTTAGTCACTATTCTACTTCTGTGAAGAGACACCATGACCATGGTAGCTCTTATAGAGGAAAGCATTTAATTGGAGCTGGTTTATAGTTCAGAGGTTTAGGCCTCAGAACATGGTGGCATGCAGGAGCAGTCGGTGAGAGAGCTACATCATGATCATGATCCATCGGCTGAGAGAGAGAGATTTAGGGCTTGACATGGGCTTTTTACAACTTCAGTGACAGACTTCCTCCAACAAGGCCACACCTCCTAATCCCAATCCCTCTTAGGTAGTACCACTTCCTGATGACTAAGCATTTAAATATGTGAGCCTGTGGAGGCATTCTTATTCAAACCACCACAGTTTTTATTACCATTTTTCAGCTCAGGGAGCTTGTGTTCACATTAAACAAAAAAGTTGTACTATCTTTATGTCCTGAAGATAAGCTCAACTAACGGCTCAAATGGGTTCAGACCATGCATGGGACTTACTCTGACTTTTAACGAAGGTGGGACTTGTACTTTTGGATTTTTCCAGAGTATGGATTTTATCTCACTTAAGTTGCTACTGTTTGCTAACTATCGGTGGCACTTCTTAGAAATTGTTTGCATCATAAGATAGAGAGATTCTCATGGAACAAAATGGGATGCCTCCTGGATTCCTGAAAACTCTTATCAAGTTTCCTGTAGATTTACCGAATCTCTTCTCTTCCTCCTGTCCCGATGCCCTTGGCCATCTCCCCATCCTGCTCTTTGCCCATCCTAAACTCTAGATGACATGAAATGGTAAAATATCTGAGTACCTAATTTAGCTCTACCTTTTGCAATTTTCCTTTTAAATAAATTTCTCTAGGTTCTGTAAGAAAGTAACATCAAGTATTAATGTGGAATTTCCTTTCTAAAAGCACATGCTATTAAGATGAAACAAGAAAAAGAATGTGTACCTTGACTTTCAGGCTCTCTCTGCTCCAGTGTGCCCCTGTGTGGAGCATATTCTCTGCTGTGGGGTGTGCAGTATGGCAAAAGGAGAGAGGGCAGTCAAAATCCAAACATAGCCCATTCTGAAATTCGTTCTGATGGAATTAACTTCATGTACCAGATATTTCTTGGCGGTGTTTCTCTTTTTCCCACTGTCTGGGGACAGTGGGGCAGAGGTGCTGTGTGAGTTTTGCATTGTGTAACTGGACAGAAATCACACCACTGGGCCTCAGGACTTACTGTCTGGAAATCAGTTTTTGGCTTCAACGATTTGAATTTCCATTTTTTTTCCCTGATGGGCTGTATAAAGATTTTAGTTGAAAAATGAAGATAAAATCTGTAATGCTAAGATAGTTGCACATTGTCTTTAAATACTGCCTCGTTTCCATTCCTTCTACAGATCGGCGCATATTTCAGCAGCATATTGGCTGAGAAACTAAAGCTTAACACTTTCCAGGACACCGGCAAGAAGAAACCCCAAGTGAATGCTAAAGATAATTATTGGCTGGTTACTGCTCGATCTCAGAGTGCAATTCATAGTTGGTTCTCTGACTTAGCAGGGAATAAACCACTTGCTATTTTGGCAAAAAAGGTATCAAGTATTTTCTTCCATTGTTATAATTACAATTTTATAAATGAAGCTGTTTGACATAATATTCACATGCACATTTATTTTTCCTTATTCCCCTATAGACTGAAGGCTCAGTTGAAGGTACACACTCACCACCAGAGAGTACTGTTCTTATGTCTTTCCCTCTATGTTTTGATTACATGTGGTGCTCAGGGTGTCTGGAAACCTAAAGGATCTGCATAGAAGCAGTTTAGGTGGACTTAAGCATAATCTTAAAATATAAAAGTAGTCAGTAAGGCTTCATTTTTTTTTCATTACACTTTTAGTTTTCTTAAATCAAGATGTCCAAGATATGATAAAAAAAATCCCTTTGAGATTATTCCCTTGTCTGTCAAAATACCCTCCAGGCTCCTCTCTGTAATTCCAGCACTTGGGAATTACACACACACACACACACACACACACACACACACACACACACACACACACACAATGCCTTTATGCTAAGTCTTACTATCAAGCAAGATAAAGAGTTTTATTCTGGGTGTGCTTTATAGTACAAACAATATTTTAAACAAAACAGTCAAATTTATAACTTCCAGGGGTTTTTTTTTTTTTTAAACAAGGATGTGTGTGGGATGATAGGAGGTTCTTTTAAAAATCTTTATCTCTAGAAATTTTCTTCAGTGGGAATAGTCAATATATAGGTTTAATAATCTTGTAGTCAGAACAATACAAGATGTCCTTTGAAAGTTTAAAAGATGTTAGAAATCTCCCTCTTAGTCTTTAATCTATGACTTCTTGTATGCTTTGAGGTAGTCCCAGGTGTCTCTTCTCATCTCCTCTGGAGTCCCTGAGTTTTAGGGGCTGCCATCTTCTGTTCTAAGTATGCCATTACCACTCCCACCTGGTATGGGACCAGCTCAGAGGAGAATGCCTTGGGATACTTGCCTGTTTGTTTTTGAAAGTGACTCTTTGAAAATAGTGCCCACATCCTCCATTGGCTTTATTTTGCTGTAATATCTTGACACTGCATGCCTTAGAGAGATAGATAGATAGATGATAGATAGATAGATAGATAGATAGGTAGGTAGGTAGGTAGGTAGGTAGATAGATGTAGGTAGGTAGATAGAGATAGGTAAGTAGGTAGATAATAGAAGTGAAAGGCACTTGGAGCATTGAAGAACACTTGTTTAAGTGTGACCAACTCTTCCCACAGAGTTAGTGCCACTATCTCAACCTGCCTGAACTGTGGGGCTGGAGCACTTCTTCCCTAGTGCTGATGATATCTGTTTGTGGTCTCGTTGTGGCCCATGGATTGATTGTCTCTGAAGGCCATGTATGCCAGAGAGCATCCTGCAGAGTTTGATGGCTTTTGGCACCAATTCATAGCCTTTCCTCTGTGCTGTCAGCTGGGTGTTCTTTAAAGTTTTCCTTTGTTAATTGCTCTAAGAATACTTTTTGGATGCTTTCTTAAAGTGAATATTGATAAGGATTGGTTTCCTTGCTTTAAGGGTGTAGGGGTCTCTTATCTTTTAAGAGGGAGATGACTCATGGTGTGCTGTATTAGCCATTGTTCTTCTTTCTTTATTAGGAGCTGCCTCTGGCCAAGTCAGGTGTCCCTCAGGTAAGCCCTGGCATTAATTCTTTGCAAACATAGACATTTTTCTTTATAAAACATTGACTCTGATGTATTCATGTCTTAGGCATTCCAGGAGTCCTTCTTCTCCTGTTCTCAGAATTTCATCCTTTTTGAAATGGCAGAAGCTCTTGTAGATTTGGGCAAAGACCAAATTCTCTACATGGTCTTCATATTCAACCACATAGTTAATTTCTGATGTTTATGTGTAAGCGGACTTAAGGCAGGAAACAGTGCTGTGACCTGGAGTCATCTTCCAGTTCTTCCCCAGCTTTTAGAATAGTTTCCTACATGGGATGGATTATGTGTCCAGCACTGCATGGCTTTCATTAGTATAAAGTTATGCATCACTCTAGAGGTGTAAAGGACTTTTAATTCAGTCCTCACCATTACTTGATTTGGAAGAGGAAAATTCTGGCAACCAGGGCTATTCTTCTAACTCTTGAACAGTTATCTAGCTCTTACCTGTTTATGCAGGTGCCCTTGGCTACTGTGATCTGAGAATTCCCTTCTTTCTGGTCCTGATTAGATAACAGAAGATGCCGATGGTGGTGAGCATCCAAGGGAGACATGTTAGTAATAGATAGCCTTGTGTGCATTCAAGAAGCACACACTTAGCATCTTAATTTCCTTTGCAGCTCTAGACTGATCTAGAAGCTAAAATACTGCCCAGTGATTGCCTAAATTCAATGTCAAGTGTTTTACTGAAAAAAATAGAATTCATTACTGTAAAAAAAAGATTCACTAGAAAACATCATTTCCTCCCCCAAGTTGGCCCAAACTGCAGATTGGACAAAACCATCTATACATATCTTCTCGCTTAGTCAAGTAACTTTCTTCACATCTGTTTGTTTGGATATCAAAGCCCTGTCTTGACTCGACTCAGGGTTTTACTGTTTTGTCCTGTGCCGTTTATCTGTGACTCAGTTTTGTATTCGATTTTATCTAAACATTTCAAATTTTCAACTGTTTGCATTTTCCCCTCTTAACAGTTGCCATTTAAATAAATCCTTTGGTCATCTATGAAAGATACTATTAACAGGACTCTTGGGAGATGGGTAACTTGTGTTTTGCACTTATCTATGTTTTTAGGCTTTGCTCTGACATCTTTTTGGTGTGTATGAATAAAAGGCAGGCTGACCTGGACTGATACAATTTAAGCCACTGATTCCATATTTTATACTCTAGTGACAAGCATCAGGTCTTGAGCTGAGCGTTTGACCCTGTGTTTTTCTTGTCTCTGACTTAAATGATAGCAAACACAGAGACGTTCCATGAAAGATGTGTCTTGTATTCTAAACTTACAGGACATTTTTTCATTAAAATGTACCACTGTGTTGTGTCAAGATGAAGCTTTACAGATTTAGCCTACATGTCTTTTGCCTCCTGTTAGCTGTGTTTGTGTAGTATAGTTTTCTGTGTCATGGGGGCGATGTTCTGAATTCAGCACACAAGGCAGCAAATGTACCTGGTCAGAAAGTCTGCAGTTTTCTGTAAACACAGTGTGGACACACTATACACCATGAACCAAGGCAGTCAAGTGCTCCTTCAGCATTGGAACAGCTTAATGTTTCTTTGGAAAGCCCAACCGAAATAGATTGCTTTTAGGTTTTTAGGGGATATATGAATGTATGTATATATTACTTAAAACTTTTAAAAAATTCTAGGGATCACATATTGTACCAGGCATGCAGATAGTTAAATTAAAAATCCACTTGATTTGGCAAGCTAGTAGAAAAATCCTATGCTATATGAATTGGCAGATTTGAGGTGAAGACTTTACAATCCAAACTCAAGTATGATTTTTGGGGTAGAGAGATCAGGTTTCTTGATATCCATGGCACGGTTCCAGTGTTTTCTATTGAAAGGGCCAAATCCATGGCATTAAAACACTTAGGCTGGTATAAACAAATCCCTAATCTGGTGGCAAAATCCTTATTGCTATAATTTTTATGCACATTAAAAAACCAGAATACCCACTTTGTGAGGTGCATAGGATTGGCATTATCAAAATTCGTAAGTGGTGGAAAGTGATGGACTTGACTGGCAAAACCTAGGGAAGTATTACAGAAGTATTACCCTGCTGTGGGGTATGGAGTGTGTGAACCTTATGGTTTTACTAGGATGGGTCCTGCTGCATTGTAACAAATGCACTCTTGTTGACTTTTTTCACCACACTCATAAACTGAACAGAATACATAGAATAACAGGCTGTTCGTAGGATATTTATGAGGTATTCTGGAAGAATGAATTAACTCTTTCAAACCATTCACTGGTATATTGGGATATTAATTTGCTGAATTGTACCTTTGTGGTCTTGAAGAAATAATTAGCAGCCTCAAGTGTCTACTTCAGCCAGCGAATTAATTGCCCAGCTATTGTAGCTCAGTGTGTATTAGGCAGATTCACTGATCCATCATTTTAGACTCTAATTAATATTTTGGGCTAAAGTCACTTTCAGATAGTTTCTGGAAATTGTTGCATTTGTGACATGTTGCAGTTAGAAAGCCTCATACAGAAAAGTGTCCACGGATAAACTGTAGAATGGCGACAAAATCCTATCTGGTCTTTCCCATTCAATTTTGGGATAAATCATTTGGAAGAATATCAGGAAATTATTTTTCCCTGTGTGTTCATAAGGCAAATAACTTTCCTCATCTGAGAATATGACAAGACTTGGTTTTATAAATAAGAATGCACAGCTGATAACCATTTTGCCATGTGCTAAACACAATTTTGATTTTTGTTTCTTAACAAAAATTGGCTTAAAGTTTCTTCCTTCTTTTAAAACCACATTCACTGCTTGAAAAAGCATCAGGCACACTTCCTTATAGCAGCACATAACTTCGAGCCCCTTTCTTGCTTCCTTCTTTGTAAGTTTACCTAACAATTATATAGTGTGTGACTGTTATATGTTATTGTTTTTTAGGTCCCCATCCTTAGTAAAAAAGAGGACGTTTTTGCATATTTAGCTAAGTATTCTGTGCCAATGGTTCGAGCAACGTGGCTGATCAAGATGACTTGTGCCTATTATTCTGCTATTTCTGAAGCTAAAATCAAGAAACGCCAGGCTCCGGATCCCAATTTGGGTAAGTGAGGCAGTGTTCGGTGTTTTCCCTTTCACTTTGGACTCTTCAAGTGATTGTCACCTGCACCCCTAGCATGGTGAGTACTGAGAAAGTCTAAGCTGCCACTGAAAGCTACCCACTCCTCACTCAGCGAGTGCTGTTGATGTTCCCATGATTTTGCTCCTTTGTGTTGACCTCTGCAGTAGCTCAGCTGTGGAAGTGCTGGTCAGAGCATCATCCCTTGTCTGGACAGAAGCAGCCCCTAACTGGCTTTTGTGCATGGTTTCCCTCCAAATGAGTGAGCCTTAAGTCCAATTAGACAGCTGTTGGTTTCCCTCTCCTCCCCTATGCTCACTGCCTCTTTTCTGGTCAATACCACTGCCTTTGCCTGTGTCACGACAGTTGATGCTAGTTAATCTTGCTAACACAGCTTTCTGCATTGTAGCCAGAATGATCCGGTTAGAACAGAAACCATGCCTTTCCTGTGATCAGAATCCTTTTATGAGCAACTGTCCTACTCACTGCCCTCCTCCCTTGGCCAGCACCAGCAGCCTGCCTGCCTTTGCTGGCTTTAAGCCTTGAACTGAAGCAGGTGGACATGGTTCTCCCTCCCTGCCGTAGATGCACACATGTGTGCCCACTAGCTCCACGTTGTACTGTTAGTGAATCCTGGGACCATAGTGGCTGAAACTGCTGTTGCCTTGTTCTTTGTTTGATTAACAGTTGTTAATACTGCCTGTTACATTAACTTATCGGTTATCTATATTCATCTATCCCAACTGTATAGTAAGGCTGCATGGAAATTTTTGATTTGTTCAGAGCTGGATTTCTTCTTGATCTTCTCAGTGCTGGTCTCTCACGATAGCACCTGGTTTACAGAAGTTGTTTAGCAATTTTTAAAATGAAGAAACGAATAACTAGGGCAAGGCATTTATGTTTGTATAGGTATGATGCCATTTTGCATGTATGTGTATATGTTTTTAAATTGTCTCCATGCCAGGTGGTGGTGGCACACCCTTTTAATCCCAGTGCTTGGGAGGCAGAGGCAAGTGGATCTCTGTGAGTTTGAGGTTATCCTGATCTACAAAACAAGTTCCAGGACACCCAGGGCTGTTACACAGAAAAACCCTGTTTTGAAAAAACAAACAAAATAATTTCTTTCTCTCCAATTCTGTCTGAGGGCGGTGCCACTGGGGCCATGCCAATCTGGTTGGCCTGTGTTGCCACCCAAGGCCATGGTGTCGTTCAAGTCTGGGCTTCTGCCTAGGGCCATGTCTGGGCCTGTGACCCAGTAGAAGCCAAGGTCTGAGTTGATATCCATAGCTCTTGTTACTACTGAGGGCTGTGTAGATGCCCAGGTCTGGACAGCCACCTGAGACCAAGTTGGTATCTTGTTGCTACTGGGGCCATACTGATGTGGGTGGCCTGAGCTGCCACCAGCGTCATGGGCTGCCAAGGGCCAGCCATGTCTGGGTCTGTGTACTTGAGGTCTGTGATGATGTCCATGGCCTGTGTTACCACAGGGGGTCATAAGAATCATGCATGTTAAAATCAAAGGACCATGCTGAGCTGGCCCTGCCCATCACTGTCTCTGGGATAGCTGGCCTTGCCCCTCGCTGGGCACTGCAGCAGGGGAGCTGGTCCAATCCTCCATGGGAGAGCTGGCTCCAATACTCTGAAGAGATGCTCCCACTCCTCATTAGGGGTGTAAAAGAGCTGGCCATTATGGCATGGGTCTAGGAGAGCTGGCTCTGCTCCTCACCTGAAGTGGGGGTGGACCCACTGGTCCAAACTGGCTAGCTCAGCTATCACCCAGACCTATATCCTGGGCCTTAGGTTGGGCCATCCTATCATCTACCCCATCTGTGACCTGCTGGAGCTCATGAAGGGACCAATCCTGTGGAACAACTTCAGGATCCTCATGACTTATGGCAACAACAGGGTATATGAGAGGAGTTTTAGGAGTTTGGGTGAGGGTCCAGTGATGATGATGTGCCACAGGCCTTGAACCAGACTAATTACTCATTGCAATGAACATTTTTTTTTGGGGGGGGTGGATTGCACAAAAGGGTATATACTGTGTGACACACCATAGTGCCCAATGACACTAGGATGAATGAAGAGGAATTGGAAACATGGAGAAGCAAGGTGTTTTGTTTGACTTTCTTTTGGGATCACCAGTTCACAAATAATGACATAGAGACTTATTAATTATGAAAGCTTGGCCTTTAGCTTAGGCTTGTTCCCAACTAACTCTTATAACTTAAATTAACCTGTTTGTATTAATCTATGTCTTGTCATGTGACTTTTTTTTTTTTAACCTCTTCTCCATTCTGTATGTCTGACTTGGTTTGAATTTTGTTAGCATCTCCATGCACCCAGATTCATCTCCTTTACTTCTCTCTCTGTCTGGAAGTCTTGCCTGTCTTCTGCCTAGCTATCAGTCATTCAATTCTTTATTAAACCAATCAGAAGGCACCTTGACAAAGACACATTTTCACAGTGGACAAAAAGATTATCACACATATTCTCCTCCTTTTGTCTAAATAAAAAGGATAGATTTTAACTCTAATACATTGTATAAAGTGTTACACAATGAGAACATTTATCAGGTAAGAATTACATTCACTATGCACAGTCTACTTATATTCGTCAAATTCAGAGAAAATACTCCATTATCTATCCTATCTTGAATCCATATAAACCTCTTTCTATAATAATTTGTAATACCAACCTAAGAATATCTTTTTAGACTTTAAATATTTTCTTAGGTAAATAACATTTTTATGTCTCTCAACCTTCATAAACTTTACATCTCTTTTGATAGATTTTGTTTTTAATTTTGTAACAAAGAAAATGGTGTGACTATCAAGTCTTCAGTTCCCATCAGAGACCCAAGAAGGGTATAAAATATTACCTGAGTAAACAGGAAATGCAGAACAAACAACTCCCAAAACTATGGACATGACAGAAACAGCTGGCTGCCTGGACAGTCACCAAAGGGTCCTCTGCAATGTTGGGACATTCATCTCTGGCCTACAGGCCTAGAATATATGATAGACTTTTCTGTGTAACAGGAATTTTGAAGGACTATCCGACTTTGTCTTGGCAAAGTTTGATAATTGCCTTCTTTTGTATTCTGCTTGTCCAATTTGGACAGCAGTAGACACAGGGCAGTTTCTTGCCCAGTGGTTAGCTTTGCCACATTGAAAGCAAATACCATATGGAGGTCCTTTGATGCCTATCATCCTTTTTTGAAGTAGATAGGTGCTTCCAGGAGCAGATGTGTCTCACTGTCATGGAAAGCCTTATGTTATAGAAACATCTGAAAGGCCATATTGTTTAGGTCTCTGAAGTGTTTGAAGACTACCTATTTAAAATATATATGCTTAATCTTGAAAACATAGCTAACATGACTAATTTTTTTATTGTTATAGATGACTAAGTACTAACCTGAATTTCTTAATTATGCTAAACATTTTTAAATAATAGCCTCTAAGGACTACATCATTTTAAAATGAGCTGCATAGGTACAATGTCTTAAACAAGTATAGAAACATATGTACAGTATGCTAAAACAAAAACCCCTTAAATTTGTATCAATTTACAAAAATCCATGCCAATGTAAAATATTTGAGATTAGTAGTTCCTTTTTTTTTTTTTAGTTTAAAAGTACAGTCAATCATCCACTCTTTTTTTCTTTCCAGAAAGAGATCCCTGAATCTAACATTCTCTGTTTAGTTGTTTTCCTGACCATTACCAGTAACAACTTGAAACCACCTGCCACTAAATGGTGACAAACATTTATAACCCACTGAGCGACCAAAAATCGCCCATCCCACCTCTTGGGAATTTGGGTGTTGTGGTCTTTAGACCGTTTCCTGTTGTCTAGGGGGTGTTGACATCTTTAGGGGACCCTGAGAAAATTGGGATAATGGTCCAGTCCTGGAAGAGCTAGCTGTATTATTTTTTGTTCAGTCTCTGTGTGATGGGAAATTGCAGGGCTTATCTGAAGTCCTGGCTGGATAGTCTGTGAAGCTGGACCTTCTCAGCTAGTAGCTTTGAAGTTGTTCTATATGCAGATTTTTGAGGAAGCTGCAACAGAGGCATTTTGAGGCTGGGTCACCTGGGCTACTTGACTTCATTGATGTGTAGTCCTTTTTTTCTGAAAACATACAAACTTCTAAAGGTGACATATGTATCTTCATTAAACCAAGTATGGAATGTGTAGTGTGTACAAATCAGCTAAACATGATTCTCTGCTCTGTGTTTGAGCAGGTAAAAGGCATCTGTCAACTTTATAAGTCTGTTTGGATTGCATAACCAAACTCTAATATAAATTTATACCTTTGTCATTTGAAAGAATGACATGTAATAATAAGTCATGAGGACTCTGTAACCAACAAGATTTATTATATCTCATCCAGTCTTAGGGCTGTTCCCATGTAGAGGGATCAGCTTTTAAGTCTCCTGTCTTGTAGTTTTTCTTGTTTTTTTTTTCTCTTTATGTCTGCAGCCAAGAATTTCAGAAGGTCTCTCATGATTAAATCTGATCTTTGCTGCGCATTGGTGGTGCACGCCTTTAATCCCAGTACTCGGGAGTCAGAGGCAGGCAGATCTCTGTGAGATCGAGGCCAGCCTGTTCTCCAGAGCAAGTGCCAGGATAGGCTCCAAAGCTACACAGAGAAACCCTGTCTCGAAAAACCATAAATAAATAAATAAATAAATAAATAAATAAATAAATAAATCTGATCTTCATTAATTTTGAAGCGAACCGTAAGCTTTTTGTTTCCTGTGGAAACAAAGGTGTAACCTCTTCCCCAATGCAACTTATTTCCTGACTTCCATTCTGAAGTTAAGACAATTTTAAAATATATAGTTGGTTTAATTTAGCATTTTTTCCTACAGTTCAGTGTCTCTCAGCTTCGTTTATCCCTTCGCTCCTCAGCATTCAAAAAATTTAAAGTTAAAGAAAGATATAGGATCCAGGCTCCCTGTGTATTTCCTATCGTTATATGGCT